ATTTATATTTTTGTGGTTTTATGAGTTCGAAAGAAATTCATAGAAAGAATCGTGTCACATAACATCAACTGATATTGAGACTAATGCACCGGCAGTGACCACAACAGTATACTGGTTTGTATTGGCCGCTCTGACGTGACACAAGATCTGCTGAGCTGACACATGAGTCTTATTTTTATCTTACCGTCATGGGTTTGTGTCATACAGTGTATAAAAACAGAAACGCCTAAATGCTCGCCCACTGTTGAAGCTCTCAGATATTATCTTCTCAGCATGAGCTTCATGAAGGCGCTCTTGTGTCACCCGCTGCCTGCTCTTCGCTGGGTTATAATAATCAATAATAAGCCTTTGTAATGTGTCGGGGGTGGTGGTGAAAGGCTACAATTTAGGATGTGAAATGCATGATTTCCATGACTCACTGGGTCTATATGTCAGTGTCAGAAGTCTTGTTTTCCCATTCTTGTTGAATCATCGACATTTAGAAGTATTTTTCTTTCCAAAGACAAAGTCCGGGCTGCAGCTGAGGGTTATTTTGGTATTTGAATAATCTGGGAGCAAATTTTTTAACTTATTCGTCAATCTAATACTTATTTTCTTATATACATTACTCTAGCTGCCTGTTGTAAACGTTAACAGCAGCTTAGAATCCATTTATGTAAATGCTTGTACATTGCAGATCCTCTATGTGCAGATAGAAAGGAAAGAGCGCATGGGTTTCCTCAAAGTAATCTACAGCTTTTCACAATATACTCAGATGTCTGGGTGTAACTGCCAATGATGAATTGATATTAGAGCACAGTAGTGTTTTAACCCATGTGTCTTGGAAATTAGAACTTTTGGAAATTGGCCACATCAATGCGGGGGCCTACACTATTGGTCGATTGCGTGTTGAGGTTTCCTTATTGGCCGCCAATAATAAATCCATGACCTGTCCGTACCTCGCCAATGTGTCACAGCACAGTAGTGCATCACAGTACAATTAATGTGGACAGATGGCACTACAATACCTGATATTCACCATGGGGGAATGAAACTAGAAATCAACATGAAACCTACTGCAGTGAGAAATGGAGATGATGGTTACAGACTGCAACAGTCCAGCATGGGGCTGAGTAGTAGAGAAAAAAGTAGAAAATTTGTTGAACACCATAGTCTGATGACTCAACAGCGTAACATGATCTTGAGGAGCCAGATTTATCAACACATCTCAGCTCTATAGTTGTGTTTTGTCACCACCATGTTGCCACCATTTCCAAGTAGCAAAAATACTTGGCAGCTACAAGCTGACATAGATCCAGACTTGCCTTTAAAATGTTGGTGTGATGCTTCTGTAAAAATCTTCTTCACTTTCAGAATTTAAACATTGTTATCTGCGTATATTAGAAATGTTCTCAGGCTTGTTGTAAAAGTGGTTGGACAGAAACTGTTTTTCATGGGTTCAGTTATTTTATTAACTAATGCTAAAAGGAACACTTATTTAATATAGTGCTCAGGACTACAAGTAGCAGTCTTCTATTTATCTATATAGTCACATTTTTTATGTCTTGATAAAAAATAGGATCATAGGGGCACAATGGGATGTTTTCAAATAACACATTGCTCCTGTCAAAAACTCTTTCTTCCCCTCTGCAATCAGACTCCTGAACAGTTGACAGGAGTCACATCAATGTACCACCTCGTCACCTTACACCTGTACTTCTGTTTACAACTGCGCTCTTGCACAACTGTTTTGCACATCCCATGGCATTCATTGCACACTGCACATCAGACACTTTTAAAATTAATAATAATATTTATAATATAATAATAGTAATATTGAGTTTTTATTTTATTTTTTTACTCACTGTATTTATTGTAATATTGTGCTTTTTTACTATTCTATTATTGTGTAATATTGTATTATACTATCGTATTTAATGCGTCAGTATCAGGG